GGGGGGAGTGAAATGAGCGCGCGTGTTAAAAATTGTGAGTTTGTTTGAACAGTTGAACCCTGTACCGATTTTCCCCTAATGGTATAGCCTTGTTAAAACAAGCCGATTGAAATATTTCAGAACCATAAAGATCTTTGAAAACAATGACTCCTTATGTCTATTTGCAGGGATCCCTAGGACTGCTGGGACGAATATTTTCAACTCTGGACGGGTATGTCACTGAAGTGCTGTATATGGTAAGTACATGCACTTTCGCTGTATACAAAAATCAATAACAAACACATGGACGTTATATAATCCTATTAAAAATCACAAGAATGTTAATCTTCTTGACAAGACGAATGGATTTAGCATACAGTAGATCTATCTTAATTTTAAACATTTGAAGACGTCAATGATTTTTGGAATGGAATGCAAAATTGACGAAGGGGAAACAACCCATGAATTAAAACCAGTTTCAAGCGTACCATCTGATTCTCCTTTTGTCCACTTGTTGAAATTGTTACATTCTATACGAGAATGTCGACAATATTTTTGTTTTTGTATTTGCTTTTGCTTTTTTTGGGGTATTAATGTAGGATTTTTACGCCAAATCACCACAATTGAGATCATTTAGAAAGCGGACTTCGACCCTACCTGTCATGGCCAACAAGAGTGGGATACAACGCTCCAACAGAAAGTGGGAGATTATTTTCCCAACACGAGAATCAAAACTCGGATAATTTGCATGCGGTGGTGAAGAGCCTAAATGCAACACCACAGACGCCCGTTCCCACGTTTTAGAGGCTACGTTTTCTTATTCTTCAAAACGAAACATTTCCAATATGTTTTCGAAGAACAATCGCGTGATTAGAGGGTGCCCACTGGGCGCTCTTCATAATTATAATTCTTGATGCTTGTTTGTTTCAGCTTGTTCTTCTAGCTTTTACTCCAGCATTGAATGACATCTATTATGCCATTCACTCCTCTTTCAAAAATAAAACTTATTTGAATAGTGAAGAGCTGGATTGAAATACTTACACACTACCATTACGGCGAATGACTTGTCTTACAGATCTACAACGAGTTTGGAAACTGCCGACCTGTGTGGAACATATACAAGTCTGTCTCGGTTGTAATTTGTGACTACGGAGTTGATGTTTTTGTAAGTTTTCTCTGGTTACAGTTAGGGAGTCAACATAAAAGAAAAATTCATAATGTGCGAGCAAGAGGTAGCCCACGGGCCGAGAGAGAGAGAGAGAGAGAGAGAGAGAGAGAGAGAGAGAGAGAGAGAGAGAGAGAGAGAGGGGGGGGGGGAGGAAGACAAGTGAATTTCGTAATCAGGTAAACAGAAATGAAATGATGAAGATACAAGCTGTTGTCGTATAACAAGCTTGAAAATTGCTAAAGACTCCGTAAAAGAAGCAGCACAAATTTCAAACTACCACTGACTTTGAGATCGTGCAGTAATACCACAACGCCACCAATCCCTATCCTGGCATGTCATGTAACACCCTCTGTGATGAAGTCTACTTCTCCTTTTAACTAAGGTCAGTATAATATACAGTAGTTAGTAATATCCATAATTTTCGGTAATCATGAGATTTTTGGTGCAGCTCAATCCAGTGTTGAGTCTTTGGAAAAGCACTCACTCTACATGAATTTTCCAATTTAGCTCTGTCTTATCGAGGAAAGACGTTGAATTCGAAGGTCTCACCTTATAAATAACCTTTACGGTCATACGAGGGTTATTATAGTTATTCAAGTGACCGCTTTTTTTCTCTTATATTGTGACTCAACAATATTCAAGCTGTTTTTATCATTCTTACCTTTTTACCAGCACTGCCACCGCCATTGTTCTTTTGTCTCCCTCAGAACGGCTATTGGTTCAGTATCGGCTGGGGCTTGTTCTTCTTCGCACCAATAATTGTGGTGGGCACCAAGTTGTCTAAACATTACAAGATCATGGAGGAGGCCGAAGGGTACAAGGAGTAAGTGGGCATTGAATTTAAGCCAATTGTGCATTGTTTTCTGAAACAAAATGCTGCTGCTCCGCAACCAGACTATTCGTATAGAAAGACCCAACTGGTCAAATGGTGATAGCAATAAGTAATTCTTTATCACTTTATTAAGCTGTCAATTAAGATGAAACGATGTATGTTGAACGAATAGGAAGAGAAAGTGATCCGTTTTTGAAGAGGGACTCGATTTAATGCAAATATAAATGCTATTATGTGATATGAGCGTGCATGCGCGTGTGCATGTGTGTGAGGATACATGCAAGCGTGCCTACGTGTGTATGTCGATATGTGTGTGTGTGTGTGTGTGTGTGTGTGTGTGTGTGTGTATGTACGTGTATGTCTGTTTGTTTGCGCTTGTGTGTATACGTGTTTGTGTATGTGTGTATGTGTGTGTATGTGTGAGTGTGTGTGTGTGTGTG